TTCCTTCCTTCCTTCCTTCCTTCCTTCCTTCCTTCCTTCCTTCCTTCTTCTAGAATAAAAGGAGCAGATGCCATGCTTAGGAACCAGGTTTAGCAGATAGTTTTTCCTAGTATTCACAAAGCTCCTGGACTCAGACTCTACCTCCCTATCTTAGCTCAACTCAAATCCCCCATTGTGGATGGCATAAACACTTTTTAATAGCTTATTTTATCTTCAAGTTTTTATTATTATTATTATTATTTTGCTATGCTTTTATTGAGCTTTTGCTATGTAGCCCTGGATGGCCTGGAATCTGGCATCCTCCGCTTCCTAAGCATTGGGAATTCTAAGTGATGCAACTACATCCAGCTTGGAATATTGTCCTAAGAACACATTTTTTATGAGTCCTCAACTCTGTTAACATTTTTAGCATAGACCAAGTTCTCCTCCAAGCCTGGCTACCATGAGCACTCTGCGTGAACCTATCCTGACCTGTCATCCATCTGTATTTCATAGCTGTCTCCTTAAGGACCTTTTCACCCTGCATGCAAAGAACTTCCCTTCCTTTCCTCATGTCCCAGCCTCAAGAAACATCTTTGCTCGACTCTTTTTTTTTTTCCTTTTTGAGACAGGGTTTCTTTGTGTAGCCTTGGCTGTTCTGGCACTAGCTCTGTAGATAAGGCTGGCCTCAAACTCAGAGATCCACATGCTTTTGGCTCCTGACTCCTGAGTGCTGAGATCAAAGGCGTGAGCCATCACTGCTTAGCTTTAGTTAACTCTTAAGCCAGTGCCTGGCACAAAGCAGGTGATATTTCCATATGCTTCAGTTAGTAAATAGGCTGATGATTAAATCTTTAGATTTTAGGTAGCACTATAGGAAATTAAAAAAAAAAAAAGTCAAACACCTTTGGGGCTATCTCGTGCAGACTCCAATAGCAAATCCAAATGAATCCTATTTCTCTCATCACATATCTTCCTCTGAGAAGGTGTAACTTGGAACCAATGGCCTTGCTTACCATTTTCCCAATCATCATTACATATGGGCCCAGATACTTGTTCACGCCGAAGATGTCTAGTAAACGGATATACCAATATATGATGTTCACACAATAGATGACCCTCCCGTCACTCCTGAAGGGCTGGTCTTGAAGACGAAGGATCATTCCCACCGAGAAGAGAAGGATGGCGATGAGGTCTGTGACGTTCCAGTACTCCTGCAGCCATACTTTCACTTTCTGCAGCAGCTTGCCAGGCTCTGACATCAGGATCTACAAGGCAGCAGAGAGGTCTTAGGTCCTACATATTCAGCTCAGTTGGAAAGCGCTCATTCTGTTAGCTGACATAAGGGGTTATTTAGACCTGTGTCTAGTGAATACCTGTATGCTAGGAATGCACAATTGAGCTAAGCTTAGGTAATCCAGATGTGCATAGTCTAGAAGCAGATGTAAACAATAGGTTTGATCCTTGGGATTGTCTGTCAGTTCTGAGGCACTGCAGGCTTTTGCTATAACATTATATATTCCCAGCATACTGCAGAGTTTCAAAATCTTCATCTCAGTAAACAGCTCCTTAGTTCTGAGTGACATGGGCCACTCTTACAGGATCCCTCCATTCCTGTCAGCATCAGTAAGTCTTATCACCTACAAGTACAACCCCATTAATGACTTCTCACCACCTCCATGGTTGCCACTGAATTCCAAGTCCCATCAGATCAGGCACATGGTTGTACCCATCTCCTAATGGCATCCCTGTTGTCATTATGGCCACCAGCCTACCACTATCTGAGCAACACACAGTGAGGACTTTAAAGACATAAACCATGATGTGCTTGGTGATTACACAGTTGTATGTGTAAGCAAAGACTCATTAAGCTGCGTCCTTTCATTACAGGTAAATTACTCATTTCTGACAGAAAGAGGGAGGGAGGGAGGGAGAGAGAGAGAGAGAGAGAGAGAGAGAGAGAGAGAGAGAGAGAGAGAAGATCATGGTAAGCACATACTCAAACTATTTCATGGCTCCCATTATAAGCAGACAAAAAGTCAAATTCCTTACCATGGCCCACTTCACATCATACCTCATTCTCCCTCAAGTTCTACCTGTGGCTGCACTGTCCTGCTCTGAAACATAACAGGTCCAGCCTACGCTCAGTACATTTGCACTTAATCCCTTCCACTGGGTATTTTCTTTCAAGCATTTGCTCCTCTTTTTCTTTTTTTTTTTGGGGGGGGGGAAGGGCAGGTTCTGTGTATCCCTGGCTGTTCTGGAATCACTTTGTAGACCAGGCTGGCCTTGAAATCACAGAAATATGCCTACCTCTGTCTCCCTGCTCGCTGAGAGAACAAGCATGTGCTACCTCACCTGATTATGTTTGGCTGCTCTTATCCTTAAACTCTTTATTCAGATGTCCCCTTCCCAGGAAGGACTCTGTGGACCACTGGCTGCAGTAGTCTCCACGTCTCCAAAACACAGATACTTGGTCCCCATCACTAAGTTCCTGCTTCAGCAGGTGTGGGGTTAGGCCAGAGGAATCACTCATATGCTCCCAGGTCATACTGGTGACCACAGAGTGAGACCCATTGTTCTACCCACCAGCTGTCCCTGCAACTGGTGCTGTCCTGTAGCCTTTGCACCCTCTGGTTACAGCTTAACTAGGTATAAAATCTGTGCATGTGCTTGAGAGAGGACAAGTAGGGAGGATGGGTCATGCCTTTAGATATTTTCTACCCCTTTGTTCACATGTTGCTAAAACTGCTAATGTGTGGAGAGAGAGACACACAGACACATACAGAGACAGATAGAGAAAGGAAGAAGAAGAAGAAGA